TGATGTACACATGTCAAAAGTCAAAATGTGTAAAATAGGCTTGTTTTTGTTATATTTTCTTTGAAGTATCTAATATCACAGGTTTATGTGTTTTTTTTGGGTTTTTTTCTGTGTTGGTGTTGTGTACTCAGGTGAATATGATATTTGTGATGTTACTCTGAGTGTATATCCACACCAGGCGAGCTTGAAAAATATGCCCGGCCACAGAGGGATTTGAACCTACGACCTTTGGAATACTAGCCCAATGCTCTTCCAACTGAGCTACGCGGTCAGGACGGTTCGAGTAAGTGATATTTACGAACTGAATCTAGTTCCTTCGATACCAATGTATTCTAGTAATATGATATATTTTTTTTGGCTAGTATTCCAAAGGTCGTAGGTTCGAATCCCACCATGGCCGGGCATATTTTTCAAGCTCGCCCGGTGTGGATATACACTCAGAGTAACATCACAAATATCAGGTTTATGTTTGGTTTTTTTTGTGTATAATTAAGCCCAAACTAAGAAATATTGTTGCAGAAACATTAGTGATTCTCAATGTTTCCTCAAATGTTTTCCCATTTGCCCACCTGTGGAAACATTGTTGCAGAAACAAATTTTGCTTCTCGGGAAACAAGAATGTTTCCTACCAAGTTCAGACTAAGATCATAGTTGCGGAAACATTGTTTCTCCGTTTGCCCGCCTTGGCCGGCTTGGGAACATTGGCAGGAAACAATCTGGATTTTTAGTAAAGTAAACAAAGGATAAATAAATACCTGTGAAATGTGAATTTTTAGTAAAGTAAACAAGAAATAAATAAATACCTGTGAAATGTGAATTTTTAGTGAAGTAAAATGAATAAATAAATACTTATAATAATAAATAAATAATAATATACTATCTATTTCTTCTTATTTCTCATTCATGGCTCATAAGGGCTGTTATCGTCATGTTTAAAGGTCGGTCAAAAGTACATATGAAAGATTTTTATTTTTCCACACTCAGGGACAAAACTAGGTTTAACTTTGCATTCTGCTCACCTGGCATTTCGAAAAACAAAACAAATAACGTAAGTGTAAATTCTAAATAAAAACTAGGCATAGTTTTCATGAATTTCATTAAAAAAGACAAAGTTTATTCAATAAAAAACATCTTTCGGCAGCGACATGATTGCATTTTCAAGGATATTTTTTAAAACAATTTATAAAATCAAATTTAAATGCTTGTGTTTTGGCCGCGCGTATTTATCGCGAGGAAAGACTTGGTTCTAACCGGAAATCGCGGCTTCAAACTTCCGGCTGCAGGTAGCGTTCCATATATTTTAGTTCAATGGGGAACATGTACTCATAACATTCATAATTCATCTACTCGTTCGCATCCGTCAGAAGAAGATAATGAATAATCACACTGGAAATCGCAGCAAAAATTGCAAGTATAAACAGGCCTTTAAAATATATACACTGGGTATTTCCGACCCCCAATTAGGGGTGCACCGGATTTCAAATCCGGCCGGATTTAACGAATTTTCCGGCATCCTGCATCCGGCCGGATTTAGAGAAAATCCGGCCGGATTTAAATTTCTGTTTTCACCTTAAAAAATTCACCAAGAATGGGATAAACCATCAATTTGGTAGCTTTAAAGTTTAAAAAACACTTATACTACTATAAAATATTAAGTTATTAACAAAAAGATATTTAAAAAAGGTTTAAAGACAATAAAAAATCTAAACTGACACTAACTAAAAATAGTAAAAAACATAAACCGCCATTTTGAATACTGAATTATCCCAATTTATCCCCAATTGTCCCCATTACCGGTTTTATCTAAAATCCGGCAAATCCGGCCGGAATTTTTGTCCAAATCCGGTAAATCCGGTTCCGGCCGGATTTGAAAATTCCAAATCCGGTGCACCCCTACCCCCAATATACCTTCTCATTGCGAAGTTTCTCCACTTTCAACTGCTCACTTTTGTCTGCCGTAAGGAGAAGTTTCATGTTCTCATCTATCTCGCGTAACGTTTTCTCGATTTCCTATAAACGTTGAGAAACAGAAATCCATACGTTCACGATATAATAATCTATTACGAATTTGATAGGGGATCCGAGGTACTTACGATTTTAACGTCCTTATCCGAGAAGACGCGAAAGTCTAACCATTTACTGATGTTAATGTAAAGGTAGCTCTTTCTCCTCAATTATTTTAAGAGCTTGAGTGGAGGTCTGACCAAGGATTAAACTCGGGTCTCCCACTTTGAAAGGCAAGCGTAGTGAGCACGACACTACAAATGCTGGTTGAACATGTTGAACATGACTGATTGAACATGTGGATTAAATACCTGTTTCTCAAGTTCCAGTCGTTTTTTCTGTTCCATATCGACAGAAATACTGAAAATCATCGCATCCCTGAAGAGAACAAAATTACCAAATGATGAACTATCTTTCTTTGTCCTCGTTATTCTCGAAGAACACAACTTACTTAATGCTTGATGTGAGAGTCGACTTTTCACGATTTCCATAACGCGAGGTTTTCACGACATACTAAACGGGAAAACACAGTTATAATTTAGCTTCATTTTAATATCCTCTGCTTTGAATTTAATTTTCCAAATAGTACCTTCAATGCCGGCGTATAGAATTGCCACAGACCGGAGTTCTTTATAACCTACAGCAAACAAAATGTTTGAAAGTATGCGGCAATAATCATTGGCATGCCAGTTATACGTACGACTAATCGACACGATCGTACGACATCAATTTTAAAATGTTCTCCCTGGAGGTTGGCTTATACAGTAGAAATAATGAGTCTAGCAAAGGTCAGTACCTCTTCAGCGTGGTTTTGGGTGTATTCAGTCCCCAGTGGAATGTCGTGGATTTTACAGTTCTCACATAAATATCGCATCACAGCATCAGGAGCAGTGAACAGCTCCTTCAAGTAATGGTGGAATCCCCATTGCCTGAAATTATATATTTCGTCAGGTATAAATGAACTCAAGAAGACGAATGTCCATACCTTTAACAGTTCCTTACTATTGAATAATAGGTCTGCTAATGTAAATCGACGGTAGTGTTTACTTATAATGGGTGACTACTCTGCTCTGATTGGCGCACTTGAAAACTCGTGTAAGTAGCATTGTTATTGGTTCTCTCTCGGTACTCCGGTTTTCCTTCCTCACCAAAAACTAACCATTCCACCTCGTATTACATTGATAGACTAATACTGTTTGTAAATACTATTGTAAAGACACAAATAAACGTTGTTGTTGTTGCTGTTATTGTTATTGTTATTGTTGTTGTTGTTGTTGTTGTTGTTGGTGCTGTCGTCGTCCTTGTTGTTGTTCGACTCGTCCTGTTTGACCTGCGTCTTTTGCAAATCAGTACTTAGCTGCAAGATGATTTGTAGCCTCTACTTAATCATCAAATGTATAATTGAGCAGTAGTAGTATTACGTACTTGATCTGGTCAATAGTTCTCCTGGGTTTGAAATTTGCCAATGGAGTTTCAGGTGGAGCAACTGCGTTAACTCTCAAAGATTGCTTATCACGAACCTGAAAAATGCTTGTTGTTTTAACGAATTCCTTTGCAACAAGTTTCTTTTCATTAACGACTGTTCACAAAATCAAATCTTCTGGTTGGTGTATACCACCGGCGTACTTTACCTCCGATAAAAACAACTGTAGATCTTTTCTTGTTTCACAGACAAACGCTCTCATGTCGTTGCCAGGGACAACCATCTCAAGAAACTTAGCGTCTTCTGTTCTGTTCATGTTCACCTACACCATGGAAAGGAAAATGAACAATATCATTTAAAGAAACCATTAATTTAAGTAACCATCAAGGTACCATTAATGTAAGTAACTATCAAGGTACCATTAATGTAACTATGGGGAAAGAGCCTCCAACGCTCTCCAAAGAGTCTCCATGGAGTCTCCAACCCTCTCCAAAGAACATCCAACCCTCTCCAAAGAGCCTCCAACCCTCTCTTTATCATAATAGGCATGTGGATTATTTTTTACCACCAACTGTATTGGTGTGATGGGTGCCCGAGTGTGATTGCCAGTTCAGCATACCACGTGCACGGATCTTTCCTTAATTCAAGTACCATCACTAGTTCCCAGGCCACCTTGGTCAACAGCTTGTACCTACTTTCACTGTTACATGTACTACAACCATAACAATTACAACTAGTACAACAGAATCTGTAACAATGATCCTCACCAAAAGCATAATAGGTTCATGGACAGGTTTTTCAAACTTGTCTTGATTGTCACGAAGCCACATGACAGCATTGTACGTGTCTTTATAATGCGTTCTTAAGAACTCCAAACGCTGATTCTTCTTGTCTTCAAGACGACTTAACCTGTCTCTGACACCTGGAAAAAAAACCACAAAAAATGTCGAAGCTCTCCTTATGCATAGACACCTTTCTTAAGCCTGGTTCGCACTATAAAGTTTCGGTGATCACAGTAGGAATCTTGCATAGGTAAATCCTACGTTTTGAAGGATGTGTAAGAAATGTTTGAGGAAACTGACTCAGTCTTAAACACCAAGACACTTCCCTCAAACATTTCTTACAAATCCTTCAATTTTCTATTGTATTGACAATTTCCTATTTCTCGACAAATTGTCTATCCGGAGCGCTAAACTAACTTCATCTGGTTTACTTACTTCTCAATCGTTGTCCAGAACTGCCTTTCTCCTCTTTAAGGTTATGTGCATCGGTTTGAATTTGGTTTATTTGTTGCTGGAGTGCTCGAGCTTCACTGTTGATCTCCAGCAAGCGAGGCTAAATTTACAATACACAGGTGACAATACACTCTGCTGTCATTTCTTTAGTACTTAAATTGTATCCGAAATGTTTTGTGAATTACCTGAAATGTTTCCGGTCCTGGAAGATTTTCCAATTCATCTTTTAAACCTTGGACAATTCCCTCCAAAGTAGAAATTCTAGCAAACAAAAACACGCAGGTTACAGTATATAACATATTAACATGAAAACGTATACATTTCCAAAATTAATTCTATTTAGAGAACCCAGCTTTTTATTTAAATAAACTTTCATTCAATCAGCCCATTACTTCTTTTGTATGCTTTTCTGTTGGTCCACCATTTCTTTAAGCTCATTTTCTTTGTCTTTCACCTGCAAAAAATATTGCCAGTGGTCAATGAAGTAAACGTAAGTGATGGATACATTCAAAAGATCTTAATTGGGTTTAGTAATAAAATGTTTTCCCACCTTATCCAGCCATTCATCGAGTTTATCTTTTTTGTTCTTGAGACTTTGATGAGCCTGTCTACCTTTCTCTCCCTGGAAATGATACGTTTGATATTTTTAAAGTTATTGTCCTGTCAGACAGATAAACACACAGACGCATACAAACGCAGATAAAAACATAACTTCCTGGCGGAGGTAATAGAGTGGTTCAGATTTGACTTCCACTACCTCTCACTGGCTTAGACAACATCTGATTGGTTGATCAGATACATCAAACGCATCTGATTGGTTGATCAGATATATCAAACGGATCTCATTGGCTAATATGGTCCCTTAATGGTAGCGGACGTCAAATCTGAACCTCGCTAATGATTACTCTATCTCATTACCAGTTGACGACTTTCCTCGGCATGTTGTTGGACTTTTGTAGCTGCTTCGTTTTTCTTCTTCTCCAGTGGAGCATTTTGCTTTCTTGCTTGGTCTATCACTTTCTTCAACTCGTCTCGTTTCTCTCTTTTCTTAACAAACTGTTGTCTCAGCTCCTCATATTCCTGGGTGAAAATTATCGTCATTGTGGTGATGGTGTCCGGTGATGATTATGGTAATTGTGGTGATGATTATGGTAATTGTGGTGATGACTGTGGTGATTATGGTAATTGTGGTGATGGTGATGACAGTGATGATTATGGTAATTGTGGTGGTGATGATGGTGGTGTGATGTTGGCAATGATGTTGGTAATGATGATGGTGGTGGTGATGATGGTGGTGGTGATGATGGTAGTGAAAATGGTATTAGTGAACTAGTGATGATGATAGGTACGGTACTGGTGGTGATGGTAAAGATTATCATACAGTATATAAGAGTAATGACCATGGTAATTATACTGATGGTTACAATAGTTTATTTGGAATGCTAGTGTTAAATTGAATCACCTAGTTATTGTAATACTTACTGCCCATGGTTTTTTCTTTTCTAAAACTCTAATTTTCTCCAAATGTTTTTCTCGCTCCTGAAATCTTTTGACTTCATGTTCCAACCTACTGTTCTGTTGTTCCAGTTTTTCCAAATGTTCCTGCTTCTCTGTCAATGATGCCTTGAAATTTAGAAATTTAAAACAAACCCTTTAGAAAAAACAATCGCTTGGGTATTGATCGTCTGGCCATGGGGTGAGAGGGCTTTTATAGAAGCTGAAAACATTAGTAGCAGTAGTTACTTCTGGACTTTGCATAATCAACTCCAAGTGAAGAAAGAAGATATATTCCCACCTCCATATCTTTTCCTCTCTTTCCTAATGTAATGAGATCTTGATGGTTTTGCCACATATCTGGTGGACCAACCTGAAACATTGTCATTGCAGAGTTTATCCATGGGGGAAGATGTTTTGCAACATTATAGTATTACCAATATGTCAACTGGTTTGATATGTCACAGATGATGATGGTGGTGATTATGGTCATGATAATTGTGGTGATAATGGTGCTGGAGATAATGATGGTACTGACTGATTGTGAAGATGATGGTGCATGGTGATGATAATATATGGTGGTAGTGATAATGGTGGTGATGATGATGGTGGTGATGATGGTGGTGGAAATGATGGTAATGATTGTGCAGATGATGATGGTGGTGATGATAATAATATATGGTGGTAGTGATAATGGTGATGATGATGGTGGTGGTAATGACGATGGTGGTGATGATGGTGGTGGAAATGATGGTAATGATTGTGCAGATGATGGTGGTTATAAAAATATATGGTGGTGGTGATGATGGTGATTTTGGTTGCCAGGTGATGACAGTTTTTTGCTGGCGTACTTACTGCCTTCTCTGTGGCAACTAACAATTCTTGAGGAGACATTTTAGCAAATTCAACAACTTTTTCCTAGATTCAAAAATAATGTAGTCAGAATTTGGCAACTGACAATACTATATAAATTAATATAAATTAATATAAAAAAATACAAGTAAAATGCTCACATACGAGACAATAGTATGAGTTACCTGGGGCAAGAATTGGCACAAATTGTTGATCTGAATATTTAGCTTATTTACTAAATCCTGTATCTAAGAAAGATAATTTTTTAAAATTGTCAGCCTGAAATATGATGTCACAAGGACAAGAGTTGGGATTCTGGTTTGGATTATGGTTAAGATTAGGTTTTGTATTAAAAATGGAATTGTTAATATTGAAGTTAATCTAAACAATTATTAACAATTTTGCAACAATATACTGTATTTTACCAAAGTAACAAAACGTTTTACAAGTAACAAAAACGTAGGTTTAAAAAACTTACAACTTTCTGAGAAACTGCTTTCCTATTGAGATACCAAGTAGATTTATTATCACGAGTGATTTGTCTCTCTATAATGTAGTTGCCTTTGTGTTCTTCATTATATCTGAAAAGTGTTTTATAATCCCATGAGATGATTGTATATTCAATAAAAGATGATGGCTCTAGCTGCTAAATGTAATCCTTTTTACCTTTTCAGAATTCAACAGCAATAAATTGCTAATTTTTCCCTGATCAAAGAAACCTGTGTGATTATCTTATATTTTATTTATATTGTAATACATACAACTCAAGCTCAACTGATCCATTTGTCTCGCCATGTTTTACAAATTCACCAACCTAAATTAATTTGATTAATAGCAAAATTCATTTATATAATACTAAATGATGGTTGATGTCTCTAGAGTATACTGATTTGCTTTTATGAAGACTCACATTGTCAGCTCGTCCAAGGACTTTAGGTGAGCCAGCTAGACCAAGACATATTGCGCAGACGAGAGATGACTTGCCACTACCTAAGTCACATATGATAATTTATTTTAAATCTTCTGGGGTAACTTTAACACTGGAATTTATCAGTGGGGCCTAAAAAATACCTGTGGTTCCGGTTCCCAACCGACCCTATTTTTTTCGGCCGACCCTATTTTTTTTCAACGCTATTGACCGTGCAACCCTATTTTCTCTGGGGGATTGCTCATACAGCGTGCCAAAATGGCATCTGTTGTCACACTAATTATTGAACCAATTGCCTAAATTCGTCCATAGGGAATCGTACGCATCTCTAGTTAATATTGATGTCGGGACTCTACTGCAAATCGCCCAGCAAAAAACCGCCAAAAGCATAAAAAAAATATTTAAAAAAACTATTTATTTCCGACCTACCGACCTCAATTTTTTCACAATACGAAACCGGAACCACAGGTATTTTTTTTAGGCCTGGTCACCCCATTTTTAAGCAGCTACAACAACATAAGCGAGTTGTGTGCTTGCATGATTTTCACAGTTGTATGCAGGTTGCATGCAACAGTTTTTGGCAAAAGTTAGCTAATGTAAATCGACCTTATGATTCAGAAGTCTGTGGAAAGTTGCTGTTGCATATCCAAGGTTTCAATGTTTTCTATATATTTAACATTAAATTTTCAAAATTTCGCGTGTGCAATTTCCGAACTTCCCAACCAGGTTGAGGATACAATCTATTTGGTGATGCTCACTAAAACTGGACAATGTTTTTATTGTTTATTTAACTGTTAATCTTTTGTTGCAACATATAAAGTCATATACCATAAACTTATAATTATATATTATTATTATAAATTAATTAAACACATAAATTAAACAAAGCTGTGCATATCTCACCATTTGGCCCAAGGATTACATTTAAACTTGGACCAGGAAAATATTCGCATTCGTCATATGTCCTATACAAACACAGAAATATCTCAAAACATCTGCTTTTTACACAAAAGGACATAAAATTAAACTTCATATTTTCAAATGCATAAATACAACTATTTCTACTTACAGAAACTTAATTAACTTCATACGCACTATTGAGCCATGATAATGTGTTTTTTCCGCGATGAGATCGTTCAATAGGTGCGAGTTTTTGACATTTTTTGCTGTATTTTGTGAACTTTTAATTTTGCGTTTACGTGTGACTTCGGCCATATTGTCACTGCGCTTTCCCGCGAAAATAATGAAACCGGAAATAAGGTCAGCGGAAGTGAAATATACAAAGTTTTGGAACATTTCGAAATCTCCCCCTCCCCCGCCATAAGTAAATTTAGTTCTTGCTGAAAATGGGCATTCGTTATTTAGCCGGGGGGGGACAGGGTATAATTTCAACAGCATAAAATTACCGGACGTGAAATATTTTGGAAATATCCCTGACTGACCCCTCCGGAATAATTGGTATCTTGCTAGTGATATTCCCAAATAGGTTAAGTTCACCGGTGGGTGAGTTATCGATATCATATTTTTTTATTTCCGTTCAAGCGCTGTTTCAGCATTTGTTCCAGCATTCTTAACATTCTTTTGATCCTTGAATTTCCGGTCTGTCCTTAAATTGCTTTAAAAAGCCTCCAAAATATCTCTACTTGCCGTAAAACTCACTTTTTTATATGCCTTTTTGTCAAAAGAAGGTATTAATTAAACAGGGTATATAATTTGCAATATTTATTGCGTTTTATTGGATTTTTTGTCTTATGGGGGGTTTGTGAAAACCAGCTTCCGTTTACTGTTTAAGAATTCAGCATTTCCGTTTCCAAGGAAATTTTTTTTGAAAATATTTGGAATGGGAAAATCACTGTTTTTACAGTAAAATTTTAATTCTTTTACAGTTACAACGAATGAATGTTCTATCTTTTTATACATATAATAATAAAATATATAATAATTACACCATAGTAAATTGCGTAGTAAACGAATATTGGCTGTGTCATGAAGAGAAAAGTGTCACTTCACAACTGGAAACATTGTGTCCATTTATCAGCGATTTACTTTCGTTTCATGGAATTTGTGAAGCGTATCATTTATATCTTTATACGAAGTCATAAATATGTGGTGGAAAAAATTGGTGAATAGAGTTCATTGTTTATGCTTTATATATAATTACTTTCGCTTTGAATGAAACCCTGCAATATGGCTTGCAACAGTTTAAATAGACAAATAAAAATTATGTGTGAGCGCAGCTAAATTTAATATCGGTAAGAAAATGAAATGAGATTAAATGATTATTGTTTGTAATAATATGCTAGCTGTCTGGGCGTCGCAAATATGCCAATGATATTCTTATTTTATACACGAGTATATTGTTTTTTGTTATTTTTTATTCTTATTTTGTGATATAGTTTAGTGCTTTATATAAAATTATGCTTGACAGATTTGTTCTGGCCTTAATTGAGCGTAATTGTAATTTCAGATTCTCAGCTGATTTTAAGATTTTTGGATATTAAATGAAAGATATGCATGCCTGCCTGCACACGTTTCCGCACTTGTAGAGCCCTGCACGCACTTGTAGAGCATGTCATGCATGTACAATAAATCAATCTGCTCTTTGAAGCTAAAAAGTATGTAATTCCAAGAAATGGAAAGCCTATAATTTAAGAATCTAAATGATCTTATAATTTGTAAATCACTTTAGTTACACCTTTCTCTTGTCTGTAGTAAACAGAATAATCTAGCTAGAACACTTCACAGGTCACCAGATTTGATCCATTTGTTCATACTGGAGTTCATATATATATATAGTTGGCTGGCACGAATTGTACAATTTTCAAAATTGTAGAATTTTGAGTATATGGTTCTGAATTTGTATGGTACAATGTGAATATACCTAAAATACCAAATATAACACACTGTGGTGCAAATTCTGATCAATAGTTTAATTAAAGACCATGTCAAGTCTGTTCTGCGCATCAGTTCTGCTCGTAACAAAGGGGGACCCACAGATATAAACATTGCCCAAATTTTGCATCTTTCAAACTTTTTTGAATTGAAACATACTCTAGTTTATATATTAATTTACAATAGCGAACCAGCAAAGTGTTAGATATTCAGTTAGTATGTCTTATTTTACAAATATAGCAGTTCAAAATGTAAGCAAAGGATTTGTTTACATTACGGACTTGACATGGTCTTAACAAAAACATTGTCATCTGCTTAAACAATCAACTTGCATGTAGAATTCTAATATCTGGCCACCCAGACTGCAGATCGAGTAAGGACACTTTCAACAAAATCTTGGGTATATTGCAAGACCAAACTTTTAGGTGTGCAATTGTGTCTGATATTTATTAAAGTGTGCACTAAATTAAGTTGGTGTTAGTGTTAAAAATATTCAACAACAACAATTTTTTAATCAAAAAACAAAAAATTACAAAAAAGTTGGAGGCAGCAAAAGCTATTCGAGGCAGACAACTGGAAGACTACAAGTTAGAATTACATATAAATTTCAATAATATGCAACAAATACAAGTTGTGTATAGGCATAAAATCCTGTTAATATTTCAAGTGGCAATGTACCATACTTTATTACTTGTACTTGCTTTATTATTTTAATCTGTCTAACGCCAGACAATTTTACTCATCAAGGGGAGGTCCTCAAGCACTGTTGCTTATTGGTTAACTGGCCTATCTGCCTATGTGTCAGTAAACCCATTGAATCGCATTGCACCCTTATGCGCCCTACTTTATTATTTGACTCTATCTAATGCCAGACGAGTTTACTTGTCAAGGGGAGAGCTCTGGTGCTTAATGGGTTAACTAGACACATATCCATGGCAGATAGGCCAGTAATAACCCATTAAACGTCAGCGCTCTCCCCTTGATGAGTAAAATCATCTGGCATTAGACAGAGTAAAATAATAAAGTAGGGCACAATGCAACTCAATAGGTTAATGAATGAAACTTTCTGTAAAATTTGTTATATAGTAATGGATACACTGGATGGTGAATTTCTCAATGCATGTGAAAGGGGCAACTTAAATGAAGTACTAAACATTCTGTACTACCATGACAATGGTCCAGTTAAACTCTTAAAGACAGACCCAAATACCCTTGACCACATGCATTATTTTCATGCAGTCTGCCTGAATGGTCATTGTGATGTAGTTGAGCAACTATTTTTCTTTAACGTCGATGTCAACTTGGATTCAGAGTACGGCACTCCATTAGCAGTTGCTTGTCAGGGTGGTCATATGGGAACAGTGAAGACATTGGTAAAACATGGAGCAAAGATACATGACCCTAACACCAATGCAACACTCACACCTTTTTTCCAAGCATGCAAGCACGGACATTTGGATATTTTGACTTATCTCATCGAAGAAGAGCCTGATGCATTATTAGTACTTGGGTCACAGCTTTTGGTCGAAGCTTGTCGTGAGGGATTTTTGGACATTGTCGTGTTACTGGTATCGAAAAACATTGATATTGATGGTGGGATTCCTCCGAGCTCACCTTCAAGAGAATCAATTGCGTTTGATATGTCACTGGAAACACCACTTCAAGCCGCATGTTCACAGAACCAGGTTGAAGTTGTCGAGTATTTGATGCAAGAGAAGGTCGAAGTGAATGTCAGCATTGTGCAGAAATATTATCAAGTTCTTGGAGAGGCAGTTCGTAGGTATGGTACTGAGGCAGACTATGTTGCTATACGTGAGTCAAAATGTGGTATTTGGAATGTTTTAGAATATCTGCACCCTATAGATGCATTATTATTTTAATCCTTATAATGCCAGATGATTTTACCCATTGGGGAGAGTGTCAGCACCCAATGGTTAAATTAGACTATCTGCCGATCATGTGTCTAGTTTTAACCCATTGAGTTGCATTGTGCTTCAATTAATGTGCATACTTTATTATTTTATTCTATTTAATGCCAGACAATTTCACTTGTCAAGGGGCAGGGGGGGGAGCACTCAATGGATTAATATTAGTAAATTGATTGGTTAATTTAATGTATGTTAAATTTCTTTGATTATGAAATATTTTACATGTTATGAACTTAGAAATTTCACAGAACATACAGACAGATACAGAAAGAAACAAACAGGAAAGACATCACTTCTTAAAGGAAAGTTTTCAAATGGGAACTTCTATGACATTCACAAAAGCTGGTTTACTGACTATGCTGAACAGTTGGTAGCGCTTGATCTGTCCAGTAACCAACTGCATAATGTACCCAAAGAAATCATGAATCTGCCGTCAATCAGAGAAATTGACTTGTCTGCAAATAATTTGTTTGAATTGCCTGAAGTTGACAATGTTGAGGATTCAAGGTAAGCTGTTTTCTCCAACAAACCTGTTGACTGTCATGTCCACCAAAATACAAGTGGGAAATAATTCATGAAATATTGGGTGCGCAAACTTAAGTTGCCACCCTAATTTAGTTGCTACAAATTGCAGTCCTTCAAAGGCAATTTCTTGTTGAAACCCACCTATTCTCATTTACCAGGTTGGAAGAAATCAAAGCTTCGTCAAACCACCTCAAACATGTCCCAACGTCATTTTTCAACATCAAATGCTTGCGTCATCTAGAACTCGTCAACAATGAGATCATCTCTTTACTCAACTGTGATGTCAGTGAACAGTTTGATATGGATGACGTAATACCTGATGCTGTCACTTGGCAATGCCATTCGCTGAAGTCATTGAATTTAGCCAGGAATCAACTGAAGTCGATTCCCTCAGCAATTCATGCAGCAAACAGTTTGGAAAAGTTACAACTGTTTGGTAATAAGATCACTTCATTTCCTATGGGATGGAAATGTCCTCTTGTAAGTGAGAATTTTGTATATCTGAAACTGTCTCTTTTAAAGTTTTTATTGTGCTTTTTGTTGTTAGTGCATATGCATTTTGCCTCTGTGACGAAGTTGTCTGAGTGTGTTTAATTTTACTTCGGGAAATTATTTGGGAAAAAGCGCTTTCAGTTGGCGACCAAACAGCATATGTTTTATCCAGGACCGCTGAGAGCTTGGCGCTGATTTGCCCCGTCCCCCACCCCCTCTCTGCGGCCCTGGTTTTATCTGGCTGTACAAGAGGGATTGAGAGAGATCCTACTAACTTCCTGACAATTAAAGGCCTTATAACATTTTCTATCTGACACAACTTCTCCTTTTCTAGAGAATCTTAAATCTGTCCCAGAATGAGCTAATGGACTTCAAGCAGTCTGTATTCAATACTTGGACTCAG